CTCTTTCTCCCTCCCTTCCCTCTCTAAAAATAAATAAATAAAATCTTTTAAAAAAATTAAAAAAAAAACCTCTAAAAAACAATAATGGAAAACAGCCCAAACAAGTCAGGATGTCTATCCAGCACAAACCTCCAGCTTTACTCTGTTTTATTTGGAAAATAGGTACCACAAAGAGCCACTGACGATAATTTCCAAAATTCTCTAAATGCAAACCGTCCCCTGAAACTCGAACAAATGATCTCAGATTCCCCTTCCCCTCCCCCAAGTGCCTGCGTCTGCCAGCTCCGGCCAGCAGCCCCACGAAGACGCGAACCTTCCTCCTTCAGAACACACACTGCTTCTGCCCCCAGGAGAGCCCACCGACGGGGCGGGGAGGTGAGGGGAAGGAAGACACGACCTGCCCACCGCCCAGCCTTCCCTGTCCTCCGGCCGCACCACTGCACTGAGCTGTTTCCAGAACGTCCCTAACCCTAACCCTAACCCTAACACGGAGCTGCTTCCGGAACGTCAGAGGTGGGGCCCCACGCACAGCTACCTGGTCAGGACAGCACTACGGAGCCAGGTGGGGGGGGCGCAGCACAATTCGGCTGGTGCAGAATTCACTGCAAGCGAGTGACACCAGGAACCTGAACGAGCTATAAGGCACATGCTCCTAAAGGGCAGGTACAGGTGCTGCCACCAGCTCTGGCCTCTCCCTCCCTCCTTCCAATGCACCACCGGCCTCTCCGTGCGACGGATCCCACAGCTCCTGCCAGGAACCTCCTCCCGGGGCGTGTCCGTCGGCTCCTGAATGCAAACTGAGTGGACCTACTCGGTCACAAAAGGGCTTTAAGGCGGGCGGGCAGCAAAGATGCAGGCAATGACCCGAATCGACACTCTTGGTAACGTGGCCCTGGCAAAACTGCCTGCTGCACCGCTGGTTCAGGAGTAAGACTCAGAGAGAGAGAGAGAGAGAGAGAGAGAGAGAGAGAGAGAGAGAGAGAGGGAGAGGGAGAGGGAGAGAGAGGGAGAGAGCCTAAGAATCCTGGTGAGGCATCATTGTTGCACACACAACTAAAAGTCGCCGTACAAATTCGGAAGATGGAAATGCTCAGAACAACCTGTACAGAATAGGTTGTGACGTGGTACTTAACAGAAACTTTCCTCAAGGCGTTGGGCACTGAACGTCCTCTTCTAGAGGAGCTGAATGTACGGTGACTTGCCTCTAAAGTGACAAAAATGGGGGAGTGTGGGCCACAGGGACAGCCCCAGCCACAGGGGCGGGCAGGCTGCTAGACTCTCTCCCCCATCCCCCCACCCCCCGCCCCCCGCACGGGGCTAAACATCCCAGGCCACGCTAATCAGCATTAAATACCGCGGATGACCTGGTCTCTGGTCTTAACCTTTTCCGAGCACGCTGGCTTACGGCAGCAGTACTACCACCGGCAACGTCGTCCAGGCCCGCCTGGGACCCTACTGCCACAGCCCCGTCCACTGCAGAACTGGCCAGCGGGATCTCCAGGGAGCTGCGGCGTGCACACCCAGGAGAAAAAATGCAGGTGACCACCGGAGAGACAGACAAAGGACAGGTTACCCCGGGCGCCCTGAACTTCCCTGCCCGCAGCACCTCCTTGGCCCCGCACAGATGGAAGAGCAGAGCGCCACGAGAAAAGGACCAGGCCAATAAACCCTCCGGCTCAGCCTCTCCTGCCAGTCTGGCCCCTCGCTGCAGCACCTGGGCGGGAGCCCCCCCCGCCCCCGCCCCTCAACGCCTCGCCGGCCTGGGACACGGCCTGGGCACCGCGAAGGAGAGCATACGTGCCCGGGGCGGGGCTCCTGTTACAGCTCTTTGCTTGCAGCGGGGAAAAGCACTGCTCGCCCCTTTGTCTGCGAGAGAAACTTCGCGGGGGGGTGGGGGGGAGCGATCCCGTGTCTCGTCACGCACGGCTCCCCCAGCCCGGCTGCTGCACGATGACAAGATACGCGCCACCCAGGCCTCCTGAAACCAGACGCCGGGGCTCCGTGAAACCGCCGACCGGCTGGCTGCCCGCGATCCCGCCCCACCTGCGCCTGCGGGGGTGGGGGGGGGGCAGGGGGGGTGCCTGCTCGCCACACACACACACACACACACACACACACACACACACGGAAACCAGACCAAACCGGCCTGCCCGCGGGACAGCAGGCTCCGCCGCTGCCCCCAGGCGGGAGGGGCCAGGACGTGGACCACGGTGCCCATTCGGTGTCCAGAACCGCGGGCGTGTTTTATACTCAGGCGCACACGCCTCTTTCTCCGGAACAGCCACACCGGGCCCGCCCCCGTCCCCGCACCCCCAACACCGCTCAGAACCCCAACTTCTGCGTGTTAGCAGAAGGCCACTCTTCCTCAGGGCGCCTCAGGCAGGCAGGCGGTTGAATCAGATTCAACAAAGCTAATTTACTCTTTGGACACCCTCTTGGGTAAGGGACTAGATGAGAGTTCCGTGTCTGTGGCTCGGTGGATGATGAGCTACTCACACAGTGCCTTTTTATAAAGTCGCCACCTTTTCTTTTTCCTTTTTTTAAAAAAATGTATTTATTTATTTATTTTTTAGAGAGAGAAGGGAGGGAGAAAGAGAGAGAGAGAGAAACATCGATGTGCGGTTGCTGGGGGCCGTGGCCTGCAACCCAGGCATGTGCCCTGACTGGGAATCGAACCTGCGACACTTTGGTTCCCAGCCCACGCTCCATCCACTGAGCTATGCCAGCCAGGGCTGCCACCTTCTCAAAGAGTGCACGAGATCCATGCGCTAAACTTTAACAATGGTTAAGACAGTAAATTTGCTACGTGTATTTTACCACCATTAAAAATTAAAAACTTTTTTTTAAACGAGACATAGCAATAAATGCATGTATGTGTTCCATCCAACTGGGCTTTGACGAGCAGCTTTCAGCATTGCCAAGTTGTGGGTGTCCCTAAGTCAGCTCGGTAAGCTCCCTCTGCTGAATGTCTACGGCCCCAGGAACATCACTGTGCGCCGTTCTGAACGGCATTGCCAAACCGCCCGCCGCATTGCCAAACTGCCCCCATTGCCAAACTGCCCGCTGGGGAAGCTGCCTAATTTGCAATCCAATCAGCATCCCGTCGACTAAGTCCTTGTCTTCCCGCTCTCTCACCAGCAGAGGGCGCTGCTGCTCCATGACACAACTTGCCACTCAAAACCCAGTGTCTCTCTTTTTTAAATAAACGTCGATTCCTAATCGTTCATTACTCAAACTTGTCTCCTATTTACACCTCTCGTTTTAGAAACTGCCAGCTTGTATCTTTCATCCAACTTTCTCCTGAGGGGCCAAACAATCCCATTCTTTTTTTCTCTATGACTATACGCCAGCTTTGTTAGTAGATACCTGTTTATTGGAGGGTAGAATAAGACCCCACCAACATTCTGCTCTACCTCCTTAGACGCGGCGGTGAAGACAGCCTTGTCCCCCCATTCTGGCCCCCACTGTCAACGGCTCTGCCCGTGCTATGTTATGTGCTGCTGCCTCCCAGGGCGGGGCGGGGCCACACTGACAGGTGTTACTGTACAAACACCTGAGTCTCTGCATCCCCACCATCAGGTAGAGGCTCAGTGATGCGCGTCCAGGTGCCGCCCAGCTCAGTCCAGTTCAACCAACCCCAGTCCTTCCTTCACCCGCTGCGCACCACGCACTGTGGTAGGCAGCCCCCACATTGCCCACGGCAACCCCTAAGCTAGCACCTCCCCTGCAGAAGAGACAACTCTGTCCCCACACGCTCGGAGTTTTGGGGGCCCTGGCAGCTCTATGAGGGAGGCAAGAGTGAAAACAGAAGAAGAGGGGCTCGGATCAGCCCACAGATGCTGCTAACTGCTGCCTGACCTCTGAGGCCACCCTCCATCAGCGTCACCACCACCACCACCACCACGGCGCCACGCCTACCCGAATCGTGTGGGGACACACGGCCCGCGTGAGGGCGCTCCATGAGCCGGCCACAAAGGAATAATTATACGATATGGCCGCACCTCTCATGCCCCATGCTCCCCAAAGGGCTCTGAAACGGCCATTCTGAGATTTCATTTTCCTGATTCACAAGGAAGACAGCCTACACCCCTTAGAAATAAGGTGGCTGAAGTAATTTGGCAAAGAATGAAAGCTTCTCTTTCTTCGTGTATGAACCACCTCCTTAGATGCTGGTTTGGTCCCCAGAAATTTTATAGAAGGAAAGTCCTTTGGGAATTTGTCTTTAAGTTTGCATAAAAAAAAATGGTAGGAAGTGCCTGAGTCCATTTATTTTTTAAAATTTACAGTCACCTTTGGAAAGACTGCACTGATCCTGCTATTAAAAAAAAAGGCATGCTTCCCCTGGGATTAGAGAACTAGAAAATGCAAGGTGGGAAATTATTTCCACGTGAAAAGAAGTCACAAATACCTTTGTGGAATTCAGGGACACTGCCGTAGTTCCTGTGCATAAAACCATCAAGTCCCTCATTTCACTGTCTTACCTCTTCACATCATCCAAATTGCTACCAACAGTCTAATTTCTAGGAACCAGCTGCTGGCTACCCTGAGACCTGGGCACAGCTCTGGGAACACCTGGGAGCTACCTTCCCGTCTACCTGCAGTAACATGCTTCTCACCATAAAACCCCACATCCCAGTACACTGCCCCCTTGTGGAAGCAACAGGCAACCACACTTCACTTCATGTGGAACAAAAAGCACAGTTGTTTTTTTTCCTGCCAAGAAAATAATCCACACATTGCCAAAGAAAGATACAACTACTCAGATTCACTAACAAATCAAAAATAAACAATCGGTGGTCATAAAAGGAGTCTTTTTAAATGTTTGATGCTTAATTCGTCCTCGGCGAACAGGCAACTATCTCATTTGCGTGCATGCGTGAATGCAGAAACATAGCTAAATACACCCCCCCACCCCCCACCACTTAACACCACATGGGGACTGCCGCTCTACTCCATACGGTGTGTGTGCTGGTAACTGCACCAGGAGGATGGGGCCTTACCTTTTCACCACCAGCTTCAGGGTCTTATGGGACCCCTTCACCAGGCAAATGGCTTCCTGTCGAAACCCTGAGAGTCCGATGTCGTTGATGCCCACGATCTCGTCCCCGGCCAGTAACTTGTCCACCGCGGCGGCTTTGCTTCCCTCCTCAATCTGCAACAAACAAGCGTGCCCAGTGAGCCCCCGGAAGCAGCAGCACAGCCCGGGCCCAGGGCTCGGCCAGGAGTACAGCATGCCACCCACCCAGAGGCCCCGGGAGCGGCCTGCAGTTCCGAGGAGGGGAAGGGTCCCCCTGGCCCCGGAGGCTCCCACACGGGTCTGCCTCCGCCAGGACACACAACCGAGCAGAGTGGACCCACACACTGTGATGCATTTTGTGACTCTCCCTCACCCAAACAACAATGGCGGGTCACCGGTGGTACTCACTAATGAGGTCTCATGCTTGCATCCCGTGCCTGCTGATAGGATGTGTCCCAGCTTTATCGGGATCTAATTCAAACACCACGCCACTCAACCGTATCAATACGCAATACAGTCACAGATGTGTGCACCCGCCAGCATCATCAATGGGGGCATGCACCACCATCCCACAAGAAACCACAGGCCAGTGCACTGTGTCTTCCTGACGCTACAGGGCCCCTGCAGCCCCGCGTCCACTCTCTGTCTGTGTCTCCGCAGCTTCACCAGTCACGGGCGTCTCCCACACAATAAGCTATACAATGTTGCATTTTGTGTCCGGCTTCTCTCCTGCGCCAGGAAAACGTGATGTTTGCCAGGTCCCCCGCCAGGTGAGGCAGGGGTCAGAGCCTCCCTCCCTCCCACGGCTGCACAGCCCTCCCTTGCACGGAAGGCGGCCTTTTCTCCACCCCCTCGTCAGGGGGTGGAAATTGAAGACGTTTGCGGATTCTGGCTCTCGGCTGCTACGAACGCTGGCGTCCAGGTCTCTGCGTGTGCGTTTTCATTGCCCTTGGGCGACTGCTGTCTAGGACTGGACCTGCTGTGCTGGGTCACCTGGGAACTACCGTGAGTGTTCTGGGGACGTGCCACAGGCCGCCCTCAAAAGCGCCTGCCTCACCTTCCCTTCCACATCCGCAAACGCAGGTTCCCGTGGCCCCCCACCCCTGCACCTTTGTATTCCCTGCTTTCTTCAGCTACGGTCCGGATGAGAGCAGTATGCCAGGCGGCACGTACTGACACATTTCCTACCCAGTGCTAAACGCATACGCGTGAGTGTATATTCATGGATTTTCTGGAAGCTCGATTCTGAGAAATCTTGAGGTGTCAACCCTTCCCCTGGTTTTCCCTACCTAGTAATAATCCCATTCCGTATCAGTGAAGCCAAACTATTTTCTGTGCCGCTCCTTGGCAAGCCAGGGCCCACGAGCACATCCGGCCAAGCTGCCTTCTTGTGTTCGGGGCGCTAGGAGCCATTTTATCGGAATGCAACCACCCCCATCTGTTTACATACTGCTGCAGGACAGAACGGAGAAGTCTGGCCCACAGAGCCAAAACCATTTACTACTTGGCTGGTGACGCAAAAGCAACGTTGCCAACCCCTGCTTTGTATCAAAAAGCCGTTTCTTGACAAACCGCTAGGAAAACTCGTGAACAGAAACGAACAGCCAGGAGCATACCAGCGTGCAATGTGCCAAGTTCACAGTTCCCGAACCGGACACCCCAGCTAACCTCGGGGCTAGGTCAAGTGTGCACAGGCCGCTGAAGCGGCCGGTTTTCCTCTGAGAGAGTTCATGAGCTGGGGCCAAGCCCCTGACGACGCCTCGCTTCTGAAACCTCCCAGTTTTCCAAAATCTCCACCTCCATCCAAGGACACCGGACCCCTTGGGTTAAGAGAGCCACCATCTACCACTGAGTACCAACACCACAGAGGAAACTGCAGACCACCCCCAACACACACGGGAAGCAGTTCATCCACTGAACCAAACGTTTCCAAAGCCCAGACCATTGTGTTCCCACGTAGTAATAAGACGGATTAGAAATAAACCTCCACCCACCGAAGATGACCCCTCAGACACAGCAGCCAGGCTGTCGGTTCCACGGGGTGGGGGGCTCAAGGCCTAACACGGCCCGTGGGAGAGGCCAAGGGGCCGTCCAAGGGCAGGGTGCAGTGAGCAGCTGGGTGTGGGAGGAGGGTGCCCAGAGAAAGGTGACCCACGCATGGAGTGAGCCCCCACAGGTGGTATATAAACACTGGAGAGGTGGGCAGACCAAAGAAGGCCACCTGGACAGGAGACAAACCAGCAAGGACCGACCTCAGGACCCCCTGATCTTTAGAGCTCTGGTGGGGGAGGAGCCAGCCAAAAGCGCAGGAGACCAGGGTTGGGGGGGATCTTGAAAGAGACAGTTTGTACCTGGAAAACACACACACGGGCAGGTGGACCAGTACTTCTCAAACTACAACGTGCAGGCAAATGCCCCAGGTGTCCGTGAAAATGCGGGTTCCGGCCCAGCAGGTGCAGGTGGGGCCCCAGCACGGGCATGCCCGTGTCATCTCCCCCGAGCTCCCAGGAGCATCGGGGTCAGAGACGGGGACAGGCCCTTCGCTGTGAGCACAGGACGGCTGGGACCCACATGCACCCTCCTTCCGGGGCAGCCGCTCCAGGGGGCTGGGTGTGGCCTTGAAGGCGTGCCAACTCTGGAGACAGACAGCAAAGCGCAGGACAGACAGCTGCAGGCAGGGAGCAACAACAGCACAGAGGAAGGCATTCAAGCGGTCAGGCACCGGGGACGTGCCCTGCAGTGTCCCCTGGGCACGGGGGGCCCCGGCACAATTCTGCGCAGAGGAAGGGCTCCTGTTGCCACTGAGCGGGGGCGGGGCACAGGTCCCTGGGAAGGACGCGTGGACGACGTCACTGCCAGGTGTGAAGGGGCCGAGTGCACGCACACCCGGGCTAACTGTGCCCTCGGCGGCCTTTCTGCCTGTTTCTGTGCCCCGGTGGAACCGCAGAGGACAGAGTGACCAACTGCAGCTTCCCACGGCTGCAGTGGCCCGGGAAGCCCAAGGCCGGTGCACCCCCTCCTGACGCCGGGAGCAGGCCTTTCCTTGCGACACCTGCTGTGTTTGGAGCTCCCGTTGACCTCCGGGAACCTCACAGCGGCCTCTCCCGTCCGTGACTGTTCTGCGGGTACTACCTGCAGAACACACCACTTCCCACCTCTTTCTCCTCCTCCTCTCCTCGTGTTCACAGCGGACGGCACAGCTGCCCTGTGACGCAGACGCTGGCGAGGACAGCCAGCGGGGCCCTTTTTTTTTTTAAAGAGCCACACACCACAGGCTTTCGATGCCAAGCCAGGGGCGGACGGAACAAATCAGCTCTCAAAAGACTTGTCGCTGAGATGGTCTACGACTTGGCCACGTTCCGGATGAAGGGGAACTCCTCTCTCCCAGAAGAGGCTTCCTCGGGACCAGACGGAAACCCACAATTCAGACCTGGCTGGGGTGGCTCAGTGGATTGAGTGCGGGACGGCGAAGCAAAGGGTCACCGGTTCGATTCCCAGTCAGGGCACAGGCCTGGGTTGTGGGCCAGGTCCCCAGTAGGGGGCGCACAAGAGGTAACCAATATTGATGTTTCTCCCTCCCCTTTGCTCTAAAAATAAATAAATACTGTGAAAAACTGTGAGATATATATATTTTTAAAAAGAGTGAGCAAATGATACCATGGCATTGGAGTACTCCAAGAAAATTGGATTTTTCTTTTTTTAAATCCTCACTCGAGGACATTTTTTCATTGTATTTTAGGGAGAGAGGAAAGGGGAGGGAGAAAGAGAGAAACATCAATCAGTTGCCTCTCACAAGTGGCCCAACCGGGGATCGAACCCACAACTCAGGCATCCGCCCTGACTGGGAACTGAACCAGTGACCTTTTAGTCTGCGGGGACGACGCGCCAACCCACTGAGCCACACGGACCACGACCGCAAAGTCTGTAGGCGCAGCCAGTCATGAGTCGCAGGGCCGTATGGGAAGACGGGTTTTGGAGGCGACACATCCCCTGTGCTGACTGAGTTATGACCCGGCCACATTCCCACACGCCCCTGTGTCCAAACAAGTTCTCGGGAAGCACGACCTCCCCCCGTCCGAAGGATAACTCCCTGACGCGTCCTCTCTCCTGCAAAGTCTGCTAAAGCTCTCCTTCTCCTAGTGAGGACTGTGCTTCCCCAGCGGCCCTCTCCCCCTCCCACACCCAGCGGCGCCCTTCCCGCGAACACGCGCCTGGGTGTGGGAGAGGAAGCAGCTACTTGCGTTCCTCCCTGTGGCTTCCTCGCCAAGAGAAAATCTTTGGTGAAAGAAAAAGCAGCTTCGGAAACCTCCCTTCTATGCGGTGCGCCCCACCCCACGTCCCAGGTGAGGTAGCACGGATCACACTTGAACTTGGTGAGAAACAAAGCCAAACTTGGCACGCTCAAGTTTCGCAGCCCGAGGGCTCTGCCAGCCGGGACTCTGTAGCGCGTAGCGCGCACCGCGGTGGCGCTGCTCATTTTGTCACGGCCGGTGCATCACGAAGTAAAGCCGCACACTTGGCCTTGGCACCAGCCCACGCAGCAGCGGTCAGGCTCTGTCCTCGGGTGCACTTGCTGACTCCGAGACTGCCCCCTGCAAAAAGGCAGGCAGGCCGCCGCGGAAGCATCAGCGCACGCCAATGCTGACGCGCACAGGGGACCGCACCGCGCGCACTCAGACCCAGCGAGGCCGGGGGCAGTCCTTCACCGGCGTCCGATACGGAAAAGTTGCTCTTCCGGCCCCAGTGACAGGTGAACGGCCCACAATGTGCAGAACGCCTTATTGTTCCCAGGGAAATGTTTTCTCTGGAAACAGCCGGGGAGGGGAAAAATAGAACAGCTGATGAAAGGCTTTTTGGAACCGAGTTTTCAATACTTTATTGAATGGATGTGAAAGATAACCAGGGATGAAGACTCAGAGTCCCGGCCGGTGGGGCTCCTATCCGGACTGGAGCATCGTCCTGGGCACCGAAAGGTTGTGGGTTCGATTCCTAGTCAGGGCCCGTGCGCTGTGGGGGTTGATCCCAGGTCAGACAGCATGTATTGGAGGTAACCAATCCCTGTTTCCCTCTCTCCCTCTCCCTCTCCCTCTCCCTCTCTCTCTCTCTCTCTCTCTCTCTCTCTCTCTCTCTCTCTC